AAAGAAACGTAGCGGAAATCTTACAAGCGTGGTTTACAAACTGAAACCTTATTGAAAATTCTCAATAGAAACTTATTCACATCCACGACCACCACAGCTCCTCACACCTGCGCACCGTCTTTATATCCTGAAAAAAAAAATGGTAATAGTGGGGCGTGAGTACTAATCAACTGTACTCCGTAAAAACCCATAGTAAAGTAAACAACAATAATAATATCAATATCATGATCTTGGGTATGTATCTAAGCTTAATCATTCGGTATCTAACCGATACTTTAACTTGAACTTTGCAACTACCGGTAACTTGGGCCCGTTCTCACGTGATCACATTCTGGGGGTCGCCTCCCACAGAACCCAGTCTTGACTGAGCGAGCTTAATACTTTACTTAATTTTATACATACCTCGAACATGATAATAGCTATTATACTCAATATAATACCCAGTCTGGGTCCCCACCTTTTCTTGTTGAAAACTTTTGAAAACTGTAAGTGCTGTACTGATAGCTGTACCTGCAACTACATAAAAATATAAACAAATATACTAAGTACTATGCTCATTATACTTACTAAAATACTCGGATACTCACATCTATCAGATAACTTATCCGAATATAAAAGAATACTCTAGAGATCATACAAAGTCCGGATTTAAATTGGTATACTTAAACTAAACCGAAACTTAATCATTTCTATACTCTTCAAACTTTCACATTAATTAATATAATGAGAAAAACTAAAATCATATGCTATAACTCAATTCACCTCATTTTAATCTTAACTTTAACATATGTATTCTCAACATATATATAAAGTTACTTTAAAAAAATTTCACTTTAAAATAATATTCATATCTTGAGATATATTATTTCAAAGTTGAACTATATCAAAACATTCAATTTACTTGCATACTTGTCTTTAAAAATCTATATCTCATGCTACAATTATCTAAAAATTCTAAAACTTTATATCTTAACTCTCAACTAAATGAAGAAATATTCTGTAAATTTTCTCATAAAAATAATAACCATAAAGTGAGATATGAATTTTCAAATAATGTTTGTCTTACTGAAATTCGAGATTTACTCACTTATGTTCATTATTTTCTATAGCATCTTAAACAAGTCCAATAAATATAAAATTTAAACTAGAAGTTTTTAACTAATATATGAATTGACCATAAAATTTCTAACTCAAAATAATATCAATAGATAGGGTAATTCAATACCACAAATCATCATTACTACACAGATTTTTCACTGAACAACACCTTAATAAAAGATTTTTATAAAATTCATTTTAAATCTGACTAATCTAAAAATTTCCAGTATTATTCTCAACATAATGATTATCTTATATAAAAATTTTCCTAATTTTTTGGAACTCAATAGCTTGGTCAAAAACAAACAAACATAGGCTGCAACATCATGAACTTTAAATAATCTTGTTTTATATACTTATATATAAAAAAATTATAATTTCTTAACATAACAACATATTAATAACACATATAAACACTTATAATTCTTAACTATACTTGATGATATTAAATTTGTATAACTTACCTCTTCCAATCTTGAGAAAACAAAGCAATGAAACTTGATTCTCATTCTCTCAAAATTGCTCGATTCTTCTCGTAACTACTCGTTTCTTACTATTTCTTGCTCTTTAAATATTTATAAAACTTTTAGTGCTTCTAAAATCTGATTCTAAGGCCCTCTATTTATAGGCATAAGAGCTCTTCATTGTTGATAAAACTCCTCACCAAATTTGCTTAGAAATTAATATAAAAACTTAACTTGAATTAATATAAAAATATGATTTTGATGGCTCATAAATACTCTCTAAAATAGGACAAATATGATGATTAATGATGATAATAATGCTCCCATAGCTGATATAAAAATTGGCCCCATTTTTATTTAAAAACACTTAGAAAGTTTTTTAGTAAAAATTATGACAAAACATCATTTGATGCTTTATTTATTTATTCATTTCTTAATATTCAGCTCTTAATTTTAAAATAAAAATAATACTTCATAATTATCTTGTAATGTGGTAAAAAAAACAAGAAAAATAAAATTTACAGAACCAAATTTGGACTTAAAACGAACAATTACCGTAAAACCGAAAATTTTAAAAAATTCGGATTTCTCTCTTTTGCTTTTGAATTTTTTTTCTTTTTATAATTACTTTGAGATTGTGATATTTTCTCTTGTAAAAACCATACTAACTTAATCTTGAAAATAATTTACTTATCATCTATAAACTATTAATAACTTTTACCGATTTACTGAATAACTTCTACTGATTTACTGACTTACTAAAAATATGGGGTATTACAGAGGACAGTGTATGCGCTCTCTTCGATAAGGAGTAAACATGCGGATCTCCCTCGGCAGCTGGATCGAAGTACGAAGTTTCACGATTTTTTTATCGGTCATGTCGCTCGAAAGTTGGGCCAAACCATACAAGCTAGAGGATGGCCATTCGCGATATGGGCTGCGCCAATAGCCCTGTGGAACCGAAGTCATAGCCCGCTCGGTCGCAAGGTCCTGAACTGAGCCCTCTTTGGGAAGGGGCAACCGCATACGACCGCTAGTGTTCCCTTGCAAGGCCTCCTCATACTGTTCTTCATTGTAACTTTTGGGCGAGGTCGACATGACGAAGAAAGCCAAGAAAAAGAAAGAAAATGTGAGATCTCAAAGAAGGAAAATAAGAATCCTTACCAAAATTCGAGATCCGTGAAGCAAATGAACGGATGGAGAGGCTGTTCGAACAGAGGAAGGCAGAGGAAATCAAAAGAAGTTTGGATGCGAAAGATAGAAAAATTTTGCCAAACCAAAAGCACCAGTATTTATAGTCTACGAGTCTGGCAAATAGGGGTGAGAAGATTTAAATATAAAATGAATAAGGAAAGGCGAAGCGTTTCGTATATGCAATTAATGCCACGCCGACCAATGAGAAGACGACGCGTCACAAGTAGCAGGGGATGTCGGGAGAGATATATTAGTGGGGCACGCCTTTTCATGAAAAAGGTACCTTTCATTAATTAATGTCTCGTTCTTCATATTGGACGAACTGGACGGCTATCCAAGGACATGTCGGTCCCACTTTGAATTGCAGCTCCGAATCACACGTTTGAGTGAGCCCTCACCTGTGTCATCCGAATCTGAGGGCCTTTGTACGGGGTATGGACCGAACGAATGGGTATAAGGTTAGACACGTGACAAATCCACGTGCGTGCGGAGGAAATGAGCCGAACCGGACGTAACCAAGAGGGGCTACATACCGAACGGACAGGTGCAAAAAAGTAGACTCAGTTTTAATCATTGCCCAAATCGTCCGTACCAAGCGCATTAAATGCAGCAAGATCCGAAAATCCTTGATCTAATGGCGTTAAATCTGATTGGACACGTGGCGTGATCTAGATGAACCATTAATATTGGGATTAGATTGTATAGTACATTAGCATTTAATACAGAATGACTAATATCCAAGAATATCTTGTAAAAGAAATATAGAAAATCTCCAAGAGGGAAATGTACAAAGTCCCTAAACTTCCTATATAAGGAGGGAGGACAACATTAAATGCAATGAGTAAATGCTCTCATTAATTACTACATAAGTCACAAACAGAATTTCTATTCGGTTCAATCCCAGAACCGAACACTACACACATACCTGTTTGTGAGACCGAACCGAGTACACATTCTAGTGTGCAGTTCGAATACATTGTTGGTCATTTTTAGACATCAACAAACCTTCAAGAACACTTGAATCTCGTCGAGAAAATCTCTAAAACTCTTGAACTTGGATATGAATTGTGATATGTCTCCTTAAGGTAAGAGTTAGAACCATACCACATTTAAGAATCGTAGGACGCGATTTGATTGGTCCATATGATTCAAATAAGATCTTCTGGATCTACTTAAGTCTTTCAAGGTCTTCTAGAAAACATGTGATTTATGTACCAAGAAATAAAATTTGACACCACATTATTTGATTGGCCGAGAATTAAAATATCAAACTATCAATTATTTAACCATTTAAATTCATGAATTAAATCTATAGAAATTCCTAAAATATAAATAGAAAATATAATTTGATTTTTAATATATGAATTTCCACGTGGCGCTAATTATTTGGCCATAATTGTAACGTATCTACAGTCTTGTCTCAATGAGTATTGATGAGTCAGGTCTCTAGGCTAAGTATATCCTTCTGTCTTGTCTCGTTATGTAGGTCGTCATGTTGGGTATTGGTAGGTTTTAGTAGTTTAGGTCGCTCCATCGTGTCGTGGTTGACTTCAATATGTCTTGGTCGATTAGGTTGTCCACTGTAGTTTCGAGGTTAGTCTCAACTTATCTGTTCATCACACAAGTTATTCGTCGACCTATCTAGCCCTCTCTAGGTGGCCTAAATGATTCTCAACTTGGTCGACCTATTTTACTTGGTACCAGTACATCATAGTCGAACTATGGCTATATTAATATCCCTTCTATCTTTATAGAGAAATGTCAAGGTCCCGTTACAGAACCATTCCGTCGAGGTTTCTAACAGTTAGATCATCATGTAACTGTCGGAGATAATTGATCTAACAGTTACCCCGACCGAATAGTTCCGTAACGAGACCGTAGCATCTTCCATCTTTAATCTTTAATACTAGTTGTCAAATGTCAACCACCTAATAATCAAAGGACCAAAAATTGCTATTTACCCTCTCTCGATTTGTTGCATACATTCTGATTTTATTATATTCAAAGAAGAAACATACGAGAAAACCTCTTATCCTGAAAGCCGAAAGCGTGAACGATTTACAACCTCGAGGAGAGAAATAATCCGAAGAAAATAATGGAGCAGATTCCTTTCTCTCTCTAAGGTTTATTTCAATTCCTCATAAGTAGGCTACTTTATTGTTATATTTCTGTTATCAGTATAAGAAATTTGGTGAAATCTCAGGTATCCGCCGAAGTTTTTCAGCTGTATTGAAATCGATGTTTATGGTGGGTTCCTTATTACGTTTCGGATCGATTGCAGTTTGGGTGTTCCATATTATTGCCTGTATGGGGTAAGCAATTTAATTCTGATTTTACGCCATTGTTGTTGGTTTCCTTTATGTTGATTTAGCTTGCTATTGGAATACAACGATGGTATTGTCCCCTTTTTCTTTTGACAAAAGATTTGTTAATTTTGATGCAAATTGATTGATGCTTTCATGGATGTTATTTGATTGCTATGGTATTGTTTCTTTAGTTGTTGCTTAGTATAGATCGATTGTGGTTGTCGTTGATTTGAGGTCTTCACATGCACAGCCTATCTATTGGTTTTTTGATTGCTCTTTTTCAATTGATTATATTGGCCATTTTTTCCTATTTAATGCTAAATACGAGGAAGATTAGAGGAGGAAAATGAAACTCCATTGCCAATAAATCGAGAAATAAAAGAGAACAGAATAAAAAATTTGCAACACAGAGAAATGGGATATGTCATTATTGTTATACCAAGGTGTTGAGGGGATTGAATATTCGCATGGTTGTTTCTCTTCATATAACTCCCGTGTAATATACGTTTTTTTTTTTCCTTCATCAAAAGGTCTAGAAATTAAGGTTGACTATGAATCCACTTTACGACGTACAACTATTCACAGAATTACAATTAGCCTCTTCACTTCTCAGTGTTTGCTCACATCTTCTATGTACTACTTGCAAATATGTATACAATGTTTCTAATTTTCTACATGTGTGTGGATACTTTGTTTTTGTACATTTGTAATGTTAATGTTAAGTTGATTTGAGAAACGGGTTGCTCACCGATTGTTCATTGCATTAGAAGATTAAAATGTCCTTTGCCTCCATTATAGTGGTGTAACCATAAAATTTGTTCAGTTAATAATGATTAATGATGGTTATGACATGCATATGTTTCATTTTATTTCTTCTTTAAATTTCTTTGTTGTTTCATTAGGTTAGAAAGTGTACCTTTGTGATTTGTTGTATGTATATGTTGAAATAACTTGATATCTTACAGCCAATATTGTCTTTTGGAACAGAGCAGTTGCTGTCTTGGGTGTGACAATAGGCCCCACCTGATTCCCTCACTCGAGGAATCGTTAAAATCACAGCATAACCAACACGCCTGGAAAAAGGCTTCAAAATCTACTTTATCTGAAGATTATTGGACAACGAGCACTTATGATATGGATAATGCATTTCAATCTTGTGGAAGCATCTCATCGGCATGTACATTGACTCAAACCCATGATGCTGCTGGTGCGGGAAGCTCATATAAATCATCTGACTTTGTAAATCATGGTAAGTGGACTGCACATTTTTCCTTTGAGTTCATTACAAACCACCCTTTTGGGTAGTGTTATTAAAGGAAAAACCTATATATCTACAGAAGTGCCTTCCCTTTTTCCTAGTTTTATTTTACTAAATACAAATTGCACTATCTAGGGGTGGGATTTTGTTAGGTAAATACAGACCTCATGGGGTTGTTTGTAGATATGTGTAATCTGATAAATAATTGGAGATATTTGTGATCCGGCTAAACATCTTTATCAATATTTGTGGTCATCCCCTTTTTAATTGTGGAAGTGTTGGTAGAGTGTCAGAATTGTTGTCTGGGTTTTATTTGCTGGTTATTGTGGTGTTTGTGATCTATAGTTATATTGTGGTGTCAGAATAGTTATATTGTGGACCTTGGGAAGATTGTACTAAACAGTAAAAACCCCAGAATGCAGGAGCAACTGAAACTAATCACGATATAGTGAAATACATCAAACTTATACACGAGTCACAATAGACATAACTTTTATTCATAAAATACATTAGTTTGACACCTAATATAATCGTCATGCCAACATTTTTCTGTAGATTTCTTATGTACTGTTAACTCTTTCATCATTTGAGGTCATGGTATTTTCTTTTGGTATTTCTCATTCATCATCATCATCATTTGCCTGCTCCCTATGCTTCTTTCGTTTTGTGGACTACAGGTCTTATTCAGTGGAACCTGATTAGAAAGAAATGGGTTGGGAACAACAAGTCTCCCGGTCGAGCACAACAACATCATGAGCCCAGTTTAAGGTGAGATCGCTTCACTTATCTGTGTTTCTGATATGTAGCACAAATAAATTATTCAAATCTCGTATATGGAGTAACAAGATATTCATTAGTTGATATATATTTGTTTGGACTCTACGCCCAAAATCTTTGTTCGATTGGCAGTAATGTTTCTTCTCTATTTTGAGAAAGCATTTCTTTGTCTGGATATAATGGATTTCAAATCCTCAGAGTTCTACATGAAACTATTTTTCTTTACCTTTTTGTGCAACTGTAGTGGACATTAATTTATTCAAAAGGAGTTATTGAAGTCCTCGTTTGAAATGCAAACTTTTGTTCCTTGCCAGATGGCTTAGTTTTTAGCTTCTTTCCTATGCATATTTCTTCTTTATGAAATTGTGCTTCTCTCTTTCTTGGAGATGTGGGACACTGTAAACATAGTTTAAATGGTGATGCCGTTGCGAGAGGCAGCATCTGAAATAGAGTCGTTTTTGCGGCGCCTTTTCGCTGACCAAAGCAGACATAGATGTGCTTCACCCCCACAGCCCTGTCCCGTTTTAAATTATCAAAATGAAAAAAAAAAAAGAAAAGAAATAAGGACTGATATATGACACTCTCTAAATCGGGGTCCTAAAACTCTCCTTCCTTCAATCTGAAATTTTGCACCGAAACTAGGGTTTTACTGTTGGGGAAAATTACTTAGTTAACCAACTTTGATCTAAAAAATGGAGGGACCACCAGTCGACCCATCCCATCTTCGACCTTCTCTTACAGCCGTCCGCCATCGCACTACAGCCACTACCCCTGCTGACCTCTGCTGACCCCCAGGAAATTAGAGTTGCTACAATTTTCTTTTTCCTTTTCTGGTTTTACCTCTAGCCCAATCTGCTTTCTTTTATATATATTTTTTTTTTGTGTTTCTCTTTTTCATTTTTTATTTTCTGTTTTCATTTTCTTTTTCTACTTTTAGTTTCTAAACTTCTATTTTCTATTATATTTTTTATTTTTTTAATTCTTTATCGTTTTTCTTTTAGTTATTTTATTTCATATTTCTAATATTCTTTTTGAGGTTCCAATTTTATTTTTGGGTAGCTAATGTTAGTTGTGATTTGTGTCCTCTTCTTATGTTGCTGAGCCCTTGCCTCTCGCTTGTGGCCATCCATGGCAAATCGCCTCTGATTGCCATTTTTAATTTAAAACTATGAGTGTAACAGCAGTAGTGGACAAGTTTTCGGAGATGAATGTTGGGTATTGTTAGTTAGTCCATAAAAAGCTGTTCTTCGAAAAATCAAAATCTTACTTTTGTATCTTCTTATATTTCAACCATTTATAATCACAATAATTTCAATACTAGCATTTTAAAAGTTGCACCGTTTTTATTACTTTTATCCAAGTGCTTCAGTAACTTATTTTCGAAAACAAAATCAAACGTCGTCTAAGCTCTAGAAACATCTCCTCAAGTAGAGACGCTTTAGTTTTTACCTAAATAAGCTTTAAGACAAACACCTTCCATTTAGTGGGCATTACTTTCGTATCTTCAAGTCAGTATACAGATTCAGTTTAAAACTTATTCTATTTTTGAATCATCTCGTGTGCAGCTGGGATGCGACGTATGACAGTTTGCTTAGCAACAACAAGCCCTTTCACAAACCCATACCTCTTGCTGTAAGTAATTTTTCTTTATATTGTTTGTCGATATATAATTTTTTTATAGAGTAGAGCATACACTTATAATCGTTTAATATATGTTTTATTTCGATTGATTAAACTTTTTGCAGGAAATGGTAGATTTCCTTGTAGATATTTGGGAGCAGGAAGGAATGTATGATTGATTAAGAGACCAATTGTGGTTGAAAACTAGGTTCTTTGGTCATTTCCTTTAAAATACATTTCGCTGTTGTGAAAAAAAAAGGGTGTTGTAATGCTAGATTTTAGGAGCAAAGATGTGCATCAATATTGCTGCCTTTTTTGCTTGGGTAAAATTAAAAGCGGACAAATTGGATGCAGTGCGGTATATAATTTGAACTCTTTGTATTTTATTTCGGTTTCTCGTGCCACTAATTGGCCTGCTCGACCCTTTGAATGTGAACTCTCAAAAAATAAGTTAAAAGTGTCTGTTAAATATTTTGGCAAGCTGTTTTATTTTCGGGTTATATTTATATTACTGATGCGGTACTCGTGTGATGCACGACCTAGTATTATGGAAGGAAACCAATGTGATGCACGACCTAGTATTATTAAAGGAAACATTTGGATTTGAATGTTTAGATGATTGGTGAGAATAT